TTGGAAAACAGCATCTACTCTCCTGTTCTGCAGGAATTCATCCCCTTCCTATTTTTGAACGTAACCTCTAAGTCTATTTATCTCAAAACTCTTCCCTACAACAGCAATCACCAAATTTTCTCTGCATCTTCAAAGCACAAGCATTTAAACAGTTCTGTGATTCGGAAGCCAACATTCTAAAAAAGTTTTGCAACACCCCAATACAGTAAAATATTTCTGCAAGAAAAGTACTATTTCAATAAAAACTTAATAACTTTTAATTTGTTTTCAGAAAAATTTAAAAAGTATTTGCCTAAGGAAGGAGGAGAATAATTTCAAAACACACTGGCTTAATTTTAAAAAAATTAGTAGCGGAATACCAAGCTTCTTTTTTTCCAGGTCACTCCTTGTTTCAAAGCTAACCCTGATCAATAGAAAAAAAAAAAATTGATTAAAACTGGAAAGCTGTCTGGTGCCTTATTTCACATCCACTGGAGGTTATGGAACTGAAGACAGCATTGGCAAATTTGCTAGGAAATGCTGCAACTGGGGTCTAGATTTATTTATTAATTTTTTTAACTTGGAAAAAATAGTACAAGGAAATGAGGCTGAAAACGCAAGAGTATAAAAAAATATGGAACACTTTAGAATTTGAATAACCAAATAACCCAAGAAAATTATTTTTATTACATTAGATAAATATATGCGTTTGCTCTAACCAGAAATAAGTTAGTAGCTAGAAACATACCAACTTGTTACATCCATGAAGGCCATATTGTTATCTTAAGTTAAAGAAAAAAAAAGACAGAGATAAAGTAAGAGAGAGGGTATGCAAGGTGCTTGTGGTACTTGTTTTAGCAAAGATCTGATAATCAGCACTGAGTCCTTACTCTGGATGGCTGATCACCTTCAAGCTCTTTGCTAAATTCTTCTTGTCAGAAGTTCTGCTTTCATAGTGGCATCACCAGTCAGACGCTTGCGCTGACAATGCTGGGGGCTGCCGTACGACAAACATCGGGACGCCTGACCCCACTGCTCATACCCACCCGAACCCCAACACCAGCCCCAGTGCCCAGGGAGCACGCTGCTACCACTGCGCATTGCCACTACCGACTGCACAGGTGGAAACTTTTAAAGGCAGTGTATACACAATAGTACATCTGAGCCTCCTGAAGAAGAAACAAACCCTACAGCCTTCCCTAACCTTATAATTAGAGCACATAAGATAACAAGTTTCCCAACGTTCACATAAATACGATACTGCCTGACTGAAGCAAAAACACTGATGTTTTTTTAAGAGCTTAGGAAATACCTGCATGTGCTAAGGCCTCATACTTCCAAAAGTTTATACCTAGAAATATGGAGTTTAAAGGGGTCAATACATGCAATTTAGTGCTGAAGTATTTATTATTTTTATTAAGTACAGCTAATTTATTATTTTACCTCTGAAATGAAGGCTTATCTTCTCCTACTCTTAAACCCGTAGGCAGGAGCAAGGCTGGAATGAATCATACCAATTTCACTGTGCTGTTCAGAAAAGCTCCGAGCAGAAGCTATCACAGGAACTGGGGGCGTTGCTGGAGAAGTGAGGATGGGACTTTAAAGTAATACAAGTCTCCTATCCAAAGAGACCCATTTATGAGGGATAAAAGTTAGAAGACCTCAAATATATCAGATATTCACCAGGTATCTATAGCTGCCACAAGAGAGAGAGATACAGATAGCTGCCACGAGAGATACAGTTCCCTTGACATCCCAAACGCAGCTTTTTAACTGGAGTTACATAATTCTTCTTGTAAATCCGTGTGATTTTAGAAAGTCAAAATAGATTTCATGTTAAGGTTTTGTTCCAGATGAACTTGTTGACTTTCTCCTTCCTTCCTTGTCTTTTCCCAGTCATTGGCTAGGAAATTCTGAAGCCTTGAGTTTTTCATTAAATCCATTGGAAACAGACCTTAGGTAAGAGCATCATTCCCTGTTATCCTTGCTACGAATGTACAAGTTCGCAGAACTTTAACATCCCTCTATAAACTACATTCCGATTAACACACAATCATTTTTCTCACAAGCTCTTTTCTGTTTGGAAATAAACTTTTAAACCTATTCCAAGTACAAGTCTAACTAATAAATTCATCTAACTTAAAAAGCAGACAATCAGGGCATCATTTGGCCATGATTTCCATTTGTGATGACATCCAGATGGCAATCCAAGGCCTACCTTTTGTAAACAGGATGGATATTTATGTGATTCTCAAGCACAGCTAATTATTTGGAACTAAGTGAGAATGCCTGTGGAAGTATTAACAGAAAACTGCAAGGATTCCTACTATCACACAATTTAACCTGCTTATTTCATCTTCACATTTCCCTTTTCTGCAGCAGCAATTTGACACTGTTTCAGCAATAGTCACGCTTATAGACAAAAGAAAATCCAGTGTAACTTTCATTATGGCAGCATTTAGTTAGAATCTTTGAAGCAAAAGCCTAAAGTTGCACTTTGCATTCAGAGTAATATAAAACAAGGCATTTGTAACAGATGATAACTGAGTCATAATTCACCCACCTTAACCTCACACTATCTCTCGGCCAGTATTCTTTACTAAGAGTTATCCTATGGTTCATGTTCTCCCTGAAATCTGATAAGAACTATGGGAAATAGCAACATTACAATAGGAGTAGAGCCATTTAAGCTAGTAAAGTTTAAAAGATTTATTAGGAATGGATTGAGACTTTAAAACTATACTACAATAAAAAAAAAAAATCACGAGGGGCTGTCCAAGACACAGATGAACCCGATTCAGGTGTTTTGCCTGCACTACAATAGAGGATTCTATTTTAAGAGGTGACACAAGTGGGTTTTTTAAGAGGCCATTTGGTTTCATCACAGACAACTCAAGTTGCCTTATGCAGCATGTGCTTTTGGTAAAATGAAATTACAGACTTTTTTCCCTGCTCTTGACAGCCTGACTTTGAACAGAGAGAGGATATGAAAGAGGCACATGCAGTATTCATTCCAGACAATAGTACGAATTATGCCACTGGGGTTTGTTGCCTAGATAAGTGCTAAGTGGAACACAGCTAAGACACAAATACAGCTGAACAGCTCAGCATGGAACCACCACCATAGAGATACAAATAAGTACAGGGGAAGTAAAACATTGCCCTCTTCTCCCCTCAACAAAAAGTTTTTTTAAAAGGTATTATTCACAAGCATGTAGCAGAGCAAACTTTTATCCCGTGTAACACTGGTATCTTTCTCCCTCCGAGAACAGACTTTTCATCTGCCACATAATCAATGACAGAAACTGCCTAGATCATTTTAGCATTGTTTGATTACACTTTGGAGCCTACTTATAGCCTGATGAAACCACTGGATATTTTTATATATGACCACCCATTTTTTTTAAAAATACTTTTATTTAGTTAGTGAAAAGTTACTTTTGGAATGAAGAGCAAATCTGAAGCCACAGACTCCAAGAACGTTCTTGAAGGAAACACTCATTTTCAATATTACTGCTGACTGGTACTACAAATTACTACCATCAAATATAAAGGAAGAAACACTCTGATGAGAGAAAAAAAAAAATGTCCACACTACTCCTCTAATCGACACATGAATTCCACTGTAAAGTGAAAGCCAAGCTGTTCTTTTTCCTTAGAAGGGGAATTTTAAAAAATCTAGCAGTAATGCATCTGATTTGAACAAGTTTTCCTACAAGCCTGGAAGGTAGAACAGAAACACATTAACTACAACTTGAGTGAAGTAAATGATAAATGCTTAACAAATAAATGAAATTTCAGAAAATGCAAAGGCAACAAAAATGTATTCGATCACTTTTCTGCTAGATGTTGACCGTGCACCGGCAGCAGCTGGCTCTTAACCACGTAGCAATCATGTCAAAGACAACAGGGGTCAGCTCTGATAAAAATCTTTGATGCTACCCCACCTCACCAAGTTGTTTTCTTCTTTTGGGGGTTGTATTCCCCCACCCCCAATATCCTTTTATCCTACTAAATTTCTTTCTAAATCTCAAACGCACTCATCACCTTAGCAACAACACACAATGTTTCAATGCATAAAAATAAATTTGTAAGAACTGCCTCTTTTTCCTCAAGGACTCCTAAGCTGTTGTGCGTGGTAGAAGAAAGACATACAGGATTTACTCCAGCTACGAAAACCTACACCCAAGCCAGGCAGTAACTACTGAATATTAACACCTGGGAGATGTAAAGTTTTTCGAATGCAGACTACAAGAACAAAAATACGCAAGACATTGAAAGGCTGAAGAAGTTGCACAAGCACAGAGCAGACGAGCTTTGAGAAACACAACTGAGGCATAACCAAAATCCCACCTTCTGCAAACATGTTAGAGAAGACTGGTACATAGTGGAGAGTGCCAGGTGCCATCCTAAATATGCTCTAAAGGACATTATGAACCTTGTGTCAGTAATCACGTGCAACCAGAGGTCAGATCAAGGTCAAGGAAAACAGTTAAATCTGTACTTTGTGTCTACCCTAGACTTGCTCAGCTGCTGATTCTCAAATGCCATCTCAAATTTACAAATTTAGTAATTTTTCTTATGGTAAGACAGTCTGAATTGACAGTCTGTGAGGATTTATCCAGAAATAAAGAGCATTTCTACTGCAATATGAAGTTTTAAAATAATGAAAGCCTTGATTGATTGGGCAAAACAAATCACATTTTTAATACTCGTGAAATGGTCACTTTTCTGATATAATCAGAGTTCATTAAATAAATTGCAGAAACAAAACTATTTGTCAAATGACAGATCTCTTAACTGCCCAAGGACGAGGCCTAAAATGCATTAAAAATTCAAAAGGGTATTTGTTTTACTGAATACAGAATAATTATGACCTGTTTAAAAACTGCATGTTTTGAATAACTCAATTGCAATACACTTCTCAAATAAGGTCTTGTCTAGTCATTTCTAAGGTATTAAACTGTCAGTTTCCTTTTCTGGAAAATGTGTTTCTAAAGGACACGCTCATTCACAGTTGTTTAAACTTGGCAGTTCTTACTAAGTTCTATTTTCTTCTCAATGTGTAAGGCGACAACCTGCAACATAGGCCAAAGTAAAGTTTATAAAAAGAGAATTAATTGATCTGTTTAGGTAGCTAATAAATTCAAATTTCACAACCCTCCAGAGGAACTACTCTCTATCAAAGTTTCTTAAATTGGTATTTAATCTAAACGATTACCTGTACTGACTCCCAATTTTTCACGTGAATAAAGTCACAACAACTTTCTCCTCCCACCCCTCTTTTATCATATAGTTAGAATTTTTTAATTACTTTTTACCCCTCCTCATCACAATTTCTTTTGTTTTCCCATAAAACCTCAACCTCATAGCTGAATCTGCAAAAGAAGGGCTCTCAGTAGAAAGTGACTGCAGCTACTGCTATCAAATCAGCAGAAAAATATTATGTTTCTTATAAGAAAATTGCTGTGAAGAGAAAATATTAGCAGATGTTACTACAAATACTAAAATAACTGAAAGTAAATGTAGAGGAGTAAAAATAATTCCAATGGAACCTACTAAAAATAGAAGTATACAATTTCAAAATATGCATGTATTAGAAAAGAATAAAGCACATACTATGAATTGTCTTATCTTACAGCATAGATGCTGAAACTTTAATCATAACAATTCAAAGCAACTAAGTAGCAAGAATTTGGTCTTTCTGCTTCCTGACACAAGAGTATAATTCCATAGATAAATTATTTTTGGCTATAGTCAAATGCTTTATCTGTATTGTGTTTGGGGTTGGGTCTTGTTGTTTTTTCTTCTTTTTATTATTTGTGAGCCTTGGTAAGAAGTCTATGTTTATAAAAGACCTGTTGTTTCTAATTATGACAGTAGGAAATCTGTAAAGCCTTTAACAGTCAAAGCTTTAAGCCTACGAGATAGCACAAACCCAAAACCCATTAACCACTAAATTAGTTTACTGATAATTTTATCTTTAACTTTATGAATGCAAATAAAACTTCTATGCCATGAAAAGTTACCTTAGAAATTATTCTGTCTGGTTTTCTGATTTATAATATAATCAAATTCTTTCAAGTTGTTTTTCTAGCCTTTCAGGTAAATCACAGGCACACAAATTCTTTTGCTAAGATAATGCACATTTAGGAAAAAGTATAATACAGCCTCTAATTTACCAAGCGTTACTTGTATATGTGCTAAATATGCTTTTCATTACAGGCAGCAAAATAAAAATCAGTGCCTGCATTTCAGTTTGTATTAGCTTAACCTACGAATTACTGTTCAGAAGGACAACTGATTGTGTCGTGCCACTTCTTTCTCCCAGCCCCCTCCTCAATCTCTAAAATAAAAAAAAAAAACCTTACATAATAATTGTTCTCCAAAATATTTGAGCGTCTTTCCAACGCGAGTTCCACAGTCAACTGTGCTACAAGATCAGGCCCTAAATTTTAAGTTAAAAAAATTCACAATGATGCAATTTAAAATATCTCCTTTCCTTCTCTGGTTTGCCACCTTCAGAGAATTCCGTAATATGCATATTCACTTACAAGAGGAATCTGAACCCTTGCGCTACGACTGGAAATACTTCCTTTTTATATTTACTCCTGTAAGTGATAGCTTCTATTGCGATTTTGGCTTAAAACGGTAGTCAAAATGCCAGTTATATAAGGCCATCCGTAGAGTCACATGTACTCTAAAAAATATCGCCACTGAATTAACCGTGGAAAAAAATAAAGGATGTCTGGTTTGACATACATATTTACGTAAAGACTAACGTGTGTACACCCCCCCGTGAAATGCTTCTCCCATCCTTCCTCCTCTGCCAAAGTCCGCCAAAAGTAGTCATTCACGCCGCCTGCAAAATTTCATAACCAAGCACCCTAAAAATAACAACGAATTAAAACCCACAGAAAATAACAAAGCCTTAATTTTCCATTTGCACCAGCGCTCGGGCAAAAGTAAAAAAAAAAACCCAAACAAACAAACAAAAAAACCCAACCAAAAACCCCAAACCAACAACAATTCCTCGGCGACACTTCACTTGTTACCGCCGCCCGCGCAGGGTTTCAGCCGCCCCCTCCCCCCCACCCCCTCACAAAGTTTGTGCTTTGCGGGAGGCCGCCCC